GTTTTTCATAATGGTCCTTGCGGAAGCATATACTCCATGGAGGGAGGTTTTATTTATCGCTCGGAGATTTCCAAGTTTAGGACTAGAAATCCTGAAAACGCGCACATTTACTTCCTTCCATTCAGCGTGGCATCCATAGTTCACTTTATTTATGATAGAGGTGCTCTCAATCATTGGCGTCCGATGAAACAAACTGTCAGCGACTACATTCATCTTCTCGCTGGAAAATATCCCTATTGGAATCGTAGCCTTGGAGCCGATCATTTCATGCTTGCTTGCCACGATTGGGTCCGTTAATTCGTGTTATTTTTTGATTTCGTTGTTTATTGAAAGGTTTTGAGATTTTCCCTACTAATACAAAGTGATTGCACTGTGCAGGGGCCAGAGCTTTCTAAGTCCGTTCCAGAACTATTTAGCAACTCAGTTCGAGCTTTATGCAATGCAAATACCTCAGAAGGATTCGACCCCTCAAAAGATGTGTCGATTCCAGAGATTAATTTACCCGGTGGTAGAATGAATGGCTTGATTGGCGGTCCGTCCCCATCAAGACGAACAATTTTGGTTTTCTTTGCTGGAGGACTTCATGGCCCTATTAGGCCGATTCTTCTCGAACACTGGGAACACAAAGATGACGAAGATGTTCAGATTCATAGGTACCTACCAAAGAGTGTATCATACTCTGAAATGATGAGAAAAAGCAAGTACTGTATTTGTCCTAGTGGTTACGAAGTAGCCAGCCCAAGAATGGTCGAGGCGCTATATACTGGTTGCGTTCCCGTTATTATAAAAGATCACTATGTTGCTCCGTTCAGTGACGTGTTGAACTGGAAATCGTTCGCTGTTGAAATTCCCGTGGTGGAGATTCCGAACCTGAAGAAAATTCTGACTGGAATTTCGAAGAGACAGTATATAAGAATGCAAAGACGAGGAATACAAGCGAGGAGGCATTTTGAGGTTAATTCACCTCCAAGGCGATACGATGTTTTTCACATGATACTTCATTCCATCTGGCTCAGAAGGCTCAATGTTCGACTGCATGGTGTCAAGGATTCTTGACAGGTCGATGGCTTGGCTTTATTCTCGACAAGCTTGGGGAGATGAATTAATGGAGATCAGGTAAGACATGTAC